GCAGAAATATTTGTCTACCCTTTATAGACTTTACAGGAAGTTTGCCAACACCCAACTGAGAAACTATCTTTCAAAATTAAACTGCATACATCTTAACAGGTGGCATGAAACCTCTATGCCTCTTTTTTTTTTTTTTAATTTTTTTTTCAACGTTTATTTATTTTTTGGGACAGAGAGAGACAGAGCATGAGCGGGAGGGGCAGAGAGAAATTAAGCAAACAGGCTCCAGGCCATCAGCCCAGAGTGACAGGCTGCCTCAACTCAGGACCATGAGATCGTGACCTGGCTGAAGTCGGGCGCTTAACCGACTGCGCCACCCAGGCGCCCCTCTATGCCTCTTTTTAGGCACAAGAGATGGTCTCTATTCTTACTTTGCAACACATAGGTTTTATCTATTTTGCAATATGACTACAGTTCATGCCAGTTTGCCCTTTTCTCGGTCATTAAACATTAAAACGTAATTAAGGCTTTGATGACAAAAGCATATTCCCTATTGAAAAAGCATGCTTACATCTAAATAAAAATGCCATTACAGAATCATAAACCTCTTATGCTAAGCCTGGCACCTATAATCTATTTTCAAATCAACAACGTCACCTAGTCTCACTGAGCTTGCTCTATTAATATAATGTCCATTTAAGAACGGTAAGCCAAGGGGCATCTGGGGGCCTCAGTCAGTTAAGCATCCAACGTTGGCTCAGGTCACAATCTCATGGTTCGTGAGTTTGAGCCCTGCATTTGGGTGCTCTGCTCTCAGAGCCTTCTTCAGACCCTCGGTCCCCCTCTCTTTGCTCCTCCCCTACGCGAAAGCACACTCTTAAAAACAAAAGAAGGGAAGCCAAAAGAAAGGTTCTCTTTCATCCCAACTCACCAGCCCATTATCTGTTCATTTTAGCATCCCAGAAAAAGGAAAAAGAGAGAAATGTAGTGGAGGTAGCTGGTCAAACTCGAGCTTACAACTGTTATTTCCACAAAAAGCATGATGTGTAGAATGCAATTCTTAAAGATTTGAAAGCACTGAACTCCATCTTTGTAATTAGTTCACAAGGACATGATTTACCATTAAAAGTACAACGATTACATTTCAGGAAACTGGTGAACCTGACTTCAAATATTAAATCGGATCAAGCTTAATTTATAGCTGAAGATAATGCCAAAAAATGAAGCAAAGACTCAAATAGCTAAATTTTAGTTCACAGAGAACTCAACCAGATGTTTCTTGTCATATACAACCAATTAGAATAGGATCTGCCTGTGTAATCTAACATGTACTTTTAAAACGATACACTATATGTTCCTTGGACTTCATGTTGAATAACATGGTGTTAAGGAGTGAAGAAAATTAAGCAGTGAAGCTAAAATTTACACAACAGCTACTGTGTGCCTAGGATTTACATCAGGTAGTCTACATGATTTTTGTCCTCATAGTAACTCTTCAGGATATTAACATCTAAAAGCATTAGGTATCTGGATTAAAATCACAGATCCTAAGGTGCAAAGTCAGTTTTCAAACCTAAGTGTGACTATTTCCACCATACTACTACCTGTCACTATGTTAGATTCACCATTTTTTTAAAGCTTCCTAGTGACACCAATGTACAGACAAGTTTGGGAATCATTACTCCTTGGGCTCTTATGCATACCAATAGGATACTATTGCATTGAACATGCCACAGAAGTGTCCTTCCAAAAGATCTTAGCATTCGACATGCTATAAACTTCAATCATTGTGCCAGATTGTTTCTACAAATACCAAGTGGAGCGAAACTACAGGCTAAATTAAACATCATCAAATGACTAACTGCACAATTTATGGCTCTTAACAAGGAAAACCCAATTACAAAACCTTTTAAAGTAGGTACTGACTTACACTTTTCCAAGCTCTTAACTAAAAACTTTTCAGGTCCACGTGTCCCAAAGTGCCATATTTTATAACAATCCTATGTCTTTTGGATCATCATTTTTTTAAGTTCTAGCATGCAGTCGTAAAGCAAGGAAGTATCATCAAATAGCAAAATAGAATAAAGATTTGTTTGATATGCTCCACCCATCCCCTATGGCTAGGTGGCCACTATAACCTCCAGAAACAGAACTATTAAAGAGCCGTGAGGCGCCTGGGTGACTCAGTAGGTTAAGCGTCTGCCTTCAGCTCAGGTCATGATCTCACAGTTCATGAATTCCAGCCCCACATAGGGCTCTTTGCTGTGTACACACAACCTGGTTCAGATCCTCTGTCCCCCTCTCTCAAAAATAAACCTCAAAAAAAAAAAAAAAAAAAAAAAAAAAAAAAACCTTAAAAAAAAAAGTAATATCCAGCTCTCAAATAGTGATATCCTATTATTAAATAGCCCAAGCAATATAGCCTTAAGTTTATCATGTAATAAGCCAAAATAAAATTAAAATCTCATTTAAAAAAAAAAACAAAACTTCTAAAGGGTGTGTCTTTCCTAATCCAGGTACCTAGATTCTAATAAGAGTACTTCTTAATCAAACATCTTTTATAAAACTTGTGAGTAGATTACGGAGCAATGAGAATGTGGTATCAGGTTAATTATAGGTTTTGGGGACTTGTCAAAAACAAGTCATTTCTGACATGTTACTAAGTTTAAAATGTTCATATAACCATATTTTAACAACAGTATATAATAAACACTAGTAAAAGGAACTTAAAAGTATTTGTATATAGGAATCAGGCCCTTCAAGACAGTGAATTTTAATAGTTAATACAAATCTGATGTTATCAAATCAATATTATTTTTAGGTTAACACTTCTACATTTATTTCAACTTCAATAGAAATATTTATGGAAATATAAATTATTCTAATCCTTATCTTAATATAAAGCAAATAAGATACAATTTTTGAAATGCTATTTTAAACCCATTACCATAAGATTTTTGTTCATTAATTACATTTCATACCAAAAAACAGGGGTAGCTGAGAGCAGGGAGGTAGTAGTAACAGGGAAGGATTACAAAGGAGGGAACACCAAAAACCTTCTGGGGGTGACATATATTGTTCACTACCTTGATCGCAGTGATGGTTTCACAAGTCAAAGGTTATCCAATTATATGCTTTAAATGTGTAGTTTATGTCAAGTTATACTTTAATAAAGTGGTTTGTAAAAAAATAACCTGCTACAGAGAAACTGAGTATGAAGCGGCCCAAAGTACTTTTTTTTCATACCTCCCTGGTCAATTTCAGAGTTCAACAATTCCACATCAGATGTACAGTTGAACTAGTTTCTGTGCTGGTGAGCTCCATTTCAATTATGGTCCAAACTGTTTACTACCTACTCATTATTCAGACATCAAGTTCAAATTATGTTAAGCTTTAATGGTTCTATTGAAATACATGTGTATGGATCCACCAGCTCAGTAACCAAACTTGTTGCAGCTATCATTTAAGAAGTAGAATAACCACACGACCGTATCTTACCATGCTTATAAAAGGTAAACTACTAAACACATTCTTTATCAATGTGTGAATGCACGATAAACATTACTTAACTACTGATAAATGAGAATTAAGGCCAAAAAAAATTTTATCTGAATATAAAGCAGAAAATGCCAGAACATTTTTAAGAAATCTTTCCTGAAAGCTATTCCGTGGACACAGGTAGATTTTAATGTAAACCAAATTTCTCAGGTCCCTTCTAGCTTATGTTGTTACCAAATACATTTTCCATCTGATAGATTTCATTAATCTGTTAACCAAATGATGCAATCTAAGAGTCCCAAACATTCAATATGTGATACTGACAGAGCTTTGTCAAAACATACTTCTAGTTCTTCTGTGGCCATAACACTACATTTAACTTTTGATGACTAGATTGCATTGTGGCATATTATAGAGAACTTTAAGCTAGATCTAACACTTTGTTACCACTCTAACTCATCCTCTGGATTTTGTGGGGTAAAACTGTGTTTTTTTTGGGTTTTTTTTGTTTTTTTTTTTAATTTCCCCATCACTATCAGTCTCAGTGTGAACAAAAAATCTGGCTTCTGTTGAAAGCTGGGGGGGTCTGGGCAGGATCCTGAGGTAGAAACAGCAAAAAACACTGCAGCCTTCTGAGAAAATACAATTTAAAACATGAAAAAACTCTGAGAATTAGCTTAACCTGACCTAAAACCTACATTTTTGCTCTGAGATTACACTCTTTACAATCAACATATATTTAAACATGGATGGAAATGGGATGAGGGAAGCTAAAAGCAAATGCAGGTAAACAAAACCAGAAAAATCAAAATACAAATATACAGAGCCAAATTACTCTTCCAGTCAGCAATGAAACAAATGATTCTAAAATTAATATGCAAGTGAAAAATAAAGTGACTGTTTAACATTCATTCATTTAATAAACTTGTTAAGCATTTGATAATAAAAAGGCTATTTTCCATTAACTTTCTTTTTCTAAACTAAGAAAGTAATCACTATCTTTAATAAAGAAAGTATAACTTTGTTTTAATAAGTAAATAAAGCACATTGTGTTTAGACACCAATACCTTGAACACTACAGAGAACGACAATCTTCTGAAAATCCAGTTTATTTTCCATGTGTGGACAGATCCAGTCAGTGTGATCAGTTTTTCTGCATGTGTAATAATTTATCAAAATAAGTTTTCCCACAAGACTCTTCCATCAAGTCTGAAAGTCCTGGTCTGACAACACACCCAAATAAAATTCTTGAAAATTGTCTCTTAAAATTTGGAAGAAAGTGTGTCAACTCTTTCCTGTAAAGTTTACTGAACTACAAATGGCTAAAGAGCAATTTATGTTTTAAAAGGTGACTAGTACAACACTTGAGTTCAGGAAATTAATGTTTTAGTGCACTTTGCTCCAGTTTTAGCCAACATGCTACATTGTCCTTTGGGTGGGGGGGGG